ACCTTCTTCCACATGTTTGCTGTGTCCCCTACATGGCTTGTGGCAAACTGCAAACGGGACTTTTTATTGCTTTCTTTCAACAATAGCTTTTATGGAAGAGTAGCAAGAAGAAAGCCAAATTTGTGCTGGAGTACACGACAGATTGTCCCCCCCCCCGAGCTGTGGATCTCTGCAGCTCCTCCAGAGTTACTATGGGCCTCTTAGCTGCTCCTCTGATTAATGCTCTCCTTGCCCCAGCCTGTCAGTTAAGGTGGACGGCCATGTCTTTGTAGGTTTGCAGTCGTGCCATACGCTTTCCATTTTCAGATGATGGATTGAACAGTGCTCCATGGGATGTTCAAAGCTTGGGATATCTTTTTATAACCTAACCCTGCTTTAAACTTCTGCACAACTTCATCCCTGATCTGTCTAGTGTGTTCCTTAGTCTTCATGATGTTGTTTGTCCACTAATGTTCTCTAACAAACCTCTTGGATAAGGATCACTCACAGCTTCGAGTACATCAGAACAAATTTCCAAACTGGAACCACCTATTCACAATCTAAGTGATTATGTTCTCATCTGAAAATAAATAAATGGAGGCCCAGGGTTCTGACTCAAAATGCACGAATACTGAACTAGCACAAGGGTCTAGTGCTGTAAAAAATAAATAAATAAATGAATAAACCCCATATCACAAGGTGTCAGGAAAGCTCACCTAAAGTTACACAGTGGATTAACAGACAATCTAGGCACACAGTTGCAAAAGGAAAACTCCCATTCACCTTCTTATATGTCAGTCTGCCATCAAAAGTATTGTTACTTTAAACCAAAATGCACAGATGTCTTCTTCTCTCTTGCTCATTTGCTACTGTTCTGGGGGGCAAAAAGCTCTCTCCACTACAGCACGATTAAAAGGGAAGAATGGGTCTTGTGGCCTACATATAGCCGAAGCAACCACAGCTGCACTCATCTGTGAGCAGCTGACTAACTTTATACCTGGTTTGCCTATTTTCCTCATCTGTCGCTTTGCCATTCACATTCACACCAGCTGGACCAAACAGAAAAGGGAAATTTCAACCTACAAGAAGAAACTCTGTACACAGCTGCTGTAAAACATAAATAATTCTTTTTTGAAATAAAAGGAAAACTGGGGCTAGGTGTTTACCTTAAGTCCAGGACATTAAAAACCATTACCTGTGTTTGGAATATTGGTTTGATCATTCACAAATATTTGTATTTTAATGGCCACATCAAAACAGAAAAAAATGATCATCCTGGCATCTTAAAAACATTGCTAAAATGAGAAACTGAGAAACACCAAGAAGAGAGAACGCATTACTCCAGTCCATAGATCCTTGCACTGGCTTTCAGTTAAGTGCAGAATTGACTTAAAAGCCATATTTATTATCTACAAGTCTCTCAATGGTCTGGGCCCAAAGTATATCAGAGATATGTTTGCTGAGTACAAGCCTGGAGGGTGTCTCAGATCTGCAAGGATGGGTCAGCATTGGTGCCCAGAGTTCGAACTAAATGAGCTGAAAGGGTTTTTAGCCATTATGCTGCCAACAGCTGGAATCAGGTCCCATTAGAACCTTAGATCTGCTCTAAATGAAGCCATTTTTAAAACCAAGCTAAAAAAAAAAAAAAAAGTTTATCCACTGCTAGTGTCTTCTATTTTAATTTTACAATGTATCTTATTTTTTTCTTTCTTCTGTTCCTTTAACTTTGCATTTAAATATTTTATGTATGTAAAGCATTTTGAATTGGTCCTGTGAATGAAAATGTGCTATACAGTGGAACCTCGGTTTTCATATGCCCTACTTTTTGTACGATTCGGTTTTCGATGACTTTTTTTGTTGAAATTTTGTCCCCATTTTCGTACATCCGCTTGGTTTTCATACAGTTGATTGGTTGGTTCAGCATCATTAGTCTGTACCAAACTCGTCCGCCTGCCCGCGTGACAAGGCCACTCATTTCCCAGAAGAAATGAGTGAAGGGAAGTAACCCCAGATTGGGCCCTGATACATGAAGTCCTTATGGAGGGGGATTCCCCTTCCAAACAATAACCTCTCCGCCTCCCTCTCCCCTCCTCACCGTCTTCCATACACCAACAAGAGTCTTCACTAAAGGTAAAAGTGATGTTAAATGTTCCTTTATCCATTTCATTAGTCATTTATATTTATTTCTCATTGTTTTCTGTATGTAAAAATATAGTTACTCTCTATAAAATGTATTTTTTGGTAATATTTTTGGGTGTCTGGAATGGATTAATTGGACTTACATTATTTCTTATGGGAAATATTGCTTCAGTTTTCTTACGATTCGGTTTTCGTCGGACCTTTGCGAATGGATTAATCAGGAAAACCGAGGTTCCACTGTATAAATAAATTTATCTTGCTGAAACAAAGCTGAATAGGAAAAATTTTACCCGCTGGCATTCTCTCTTTCTCTCCCTAATAATATTTTAAACTGGCATTTTCATGTTGAAATCTCAAATGTTAAGAGTGATTGAATACTGAAGGTCTGACCAAAGGTTGGAGTTCCCACTCTGACTTTAGCTCAGAACCTCTTTATTGTACCTGTCCTAGCCATGTTGTCCTCCGAAGACATGCTGGCCTATTGTCCCTCTGAAACACATGGTGGCCCTGTAGACTACCATCTTGGTGGTAGAGCAATTGCATATCCTTCGTTTGTTTCAGATGCAAACACACACCTGTAGATAGCTCACTATTTAGTAGTGTTTTAATGTTTAAACCTTGGTCCATTTTGCTGTACAGTTAATGTTTACTGTATAGTACCCTGCTACATCTTAATGATTGGTGATTCTTGTGGTTTCGCTTTAATGTTATTTGATACCAACTTCAGCCATGAATGAACTCCAAACTACATTTTACTACTATTTTATTATTGCTACGTGGATACATTTATACCCTAATAATCTTCAAGATTTTCCATTTATTTTATTATTTTAATTAAAATACCAAATTAGTGGATAATCATGTAGGAGACTGATGCATTTGAAAGTCAACTTTATGGGGCATTCACAGGTCAGTGTTTCAGCCCTCTCACCTTGCCAAATTAAACTCAACCTCTTCTCTGACCATGAAGTTGCCCTAATTTCAAATGCAGCTGTGGATATTCAACAATCCCCTCTCAGCAAAAGGATAAGAATGGGGGGGGGGGAAGGACAAAATTATTAAAATTACTTTCTAGGACAATAGAATATTTTCAGGCCATATTATTTCACTCCTTTTCTAGAACAAAACCAGTCTACAAATTTACAAATTTTGCAGGATACATGGGATCACTGGATGAGTGTGTTTGCACCTACCCGAGTTCGGTCCTCTATATTGCAAATGTTAAGCTGCATAGGAATGTTGAAGCTGTGCAAGAAGTTTCCTCCAAACACCATAGAGTCCACTGGGGTGTACACAGCGTGAATCCAGCCTGAGCACACACACACACACACACATACACCACATATATTAATGTTCTATTTCTGTCCTATAAATGAAACTTCAGCATGTAGTTAGTGAGTGTTCCTATCTTTGTGTGGAAAAATTTTAATTTGATACCAACATTGTGAGGACATTTCAGCACTGTGAAGGGCTACTGATGCTCTGAATGTCCACATGTACGCTATGGTCGAGTAATGTAATTTTTGTCATCGTACCAGGTCTGTGAGGGTCTGCATTCATGCCAAAAGATTGTGTCCTTACATGCACATTCAGGGCTTTTGCTGTATCACAATCACCCTCAATATGAAGTATCCTTCATGTGGCAACCCCTGCTGCTATATTGTGTTTTGAAAACTTCTCACCTGATAGCTTATCACCTCAGATCAGGTAGCTGATTGCTGGTTGGGTGCACTTGGGCCCAGTGCTCCCAAACTAAATAAGATACAAGATGGACCAGATCCAGTCCCCTATTGGTACCGGGCCCGATAATATTGTTAAGGGGTGGAAGTATGGTTGCGTCATACAATACAACCAATTTAATCAAGCACCTGCAAAGGTTTCACGTGAAACAATACCAGGAGCTCATGCTAGCCAACAGACAAGAAGGCACTACCAGGCAATAGACTCTCGCCAATGCTTTCCAGAAATTATATAATTCCCCACTCGCCCCACTTTGGAGCGATCTTATTATTCCTTCCTTCAAGCTCGGGTCCTCTACCAGAGGCCTGGGAGCTTGAGGGTCCTGCGCAGTATCTTAGCTGTTCCTAGCACTGCACTCTTCTGGACAAAGATCTCAAATGTTCTTCCTGGGATCTGTTGGAGCCACTCTCCCAGTTTGGGGGTCACAACACCAATGTTCCTATTACCACGGAGACCAATTGTGCCTCCACCTTCCACATCTTTTCTAGCTCTTCTTTCAGCCACTGGTATTTCTCGAGCTTCTCGTGTTCCTTCTTCCTGATGTTGCTATCGCTTGGGATTGCTACATCTATCACTACAGCCTTCTTCTTCTGTTTGTCCACCACTACTATGTCCAGTTGGTTGGCCATTATCAGTTTGTCAGTTTGTATCTTGAAGTCCCACAGGATCTTAGCTTGGTCATTCTCAACCACCTTTAGAGGTGTATTCCATTTTGACTTTGAGACTTCCAGCCTGTACTCGGCACAGATGTTTCTGTACACTTTGCCAGCCACTTGGTTATGGTGTTCCCACTACGCCCTGCCTGCTAGCATCTTGCACCCCGCTGCTATGTGCTGGATTGTCTCAGGGGCATCTTTGCACAGCCTGCACCTGGGGTCCTGCCTAGTATGGTGGACCCCTGCCTCTATTGATCTTGTTCTTAGAGCCTGCGCCTGTACTGCCAGGATTAGTGCCTCTGTGCTGTCTTTCAGTCCAGCTTTGTCCAGCCACTGGTAGGATTTTTCGACATCAGCCACTTCTTCTGATAGTGGTACATACCGTGCAGGGGTTTGTCCTTCCATGAGGGTTCCTGCTCTTCCTTCCCTTGTTCTTCTGGTTTCTGCTGACTGAGGTATTCAACTAAGCACGTCAACATTCTGGGCCATCTGCCTGATCTGTTCATGGATCTTTGTTGTTTCATCCTAGATAGTGGCTCTGACACTCAATAATCCTTGCCCCCCTTCCTTCTGCTTAGTGTACAGTTTCAGGATGCTAGATTTGGGGTGAAACCCGCCATGCATTGTAAGGAGCTTGCTTCTCTTGATGTCAGTGGCCTCTATCTCCTCCTTTGGCCAGCTTATTATGCCAGCGGGGTACCTGATAACCAGCAGGGTGTGTGTGTTAATTGCCTGGACTTTGTTCTTTCCATTCAGCTGACTTCTCAGGACTTTCCTTACTCTCTTGCAGGTACTTTGTAGTTGCTGCTTTCCTTGCAGCCTCTTCATGGTTCCCATTGCCTGCGGGATCCCAAGGTACTTGTAGCTGTCCTCAACATCTGCTATGTTGCCTTCTGGTAGTACAATCCCCTCAGTTCTGACTACCTTCCCTCTCGCTGTTACCATTCGACCACATTTATCCAGTCCAAATGACATTCCGATGTCCTCGCTGTAGATCCTAGTGGTGTGGATCAGTGAGTCGATGTCTCGTTCACTCCTGGCAAACAGCTTGATGTCATCCATGTAGAGGAGGTGGCTGATGGTTGCTCCATTTTGTAGTCTGTATCCATAACCACTCGTGGTGGTGATCTGGCTGAGGGGCTTCGGCCCGATGCAGAACAGCAGCGGGGACAGAGCATCTCCTTGGTAGATACCGCTCTTGATGTTGACTTGTGCAATTGGCTTGAAGTTGGCCTCTAGGATTGTTTTCCACATTCCCATTGAGTTCTTGATGAAGGCTCTTAGAGTCCTGTTGATGTTGTACAGTTCCAAGCATTCCAGGATCCATGTGTGAGGCACCAAGTCATAGGCTTTCTTGTTGTCAATCCAGGCAGTGCACAAGTTATGTCTGGGCTTGCAGTCTCAAGTGACTACTTTATCAACCAGTAGCTGGTGCTTTGCTCCTCTGGTGTCACTACCAATCCCTTTCTGGGCACTGCTCATGTATTGAGCCATGTGCCTGCTCATCTTAGCTGCTATGATGCTTGACAGGAGCCTCCATGTTGTGCAGAGGCAGGTTATTGGGCAGTAGTTGGATGGTACTGCTCCCTTCTGAGGGTCCTTCAGGATCAGGACTGTCCGGCCTTCAGTTAACCACTCTAGGTGGGTTCCATCCATTAGTAGCTGGTTTATTTGTCCTGCCAGGCGCTCATGGAGTGAAGTTAGCTTCTTTAACCAGCAGGTGTGGATCATGGTGCTGTCCAGCTCTTCATACTTGAGACCCTCTCTTGAATGTCTGCCATTGTGATGATTACTGGGTCTTGCACAGGGAGGTTGCTGTGGTCTGCTCTTAGGTCCATGAGCCATTGGGCATTGTTGTTATGTGATGCCTCCTTCTCCCACATGCTCTTCCAGAATTGCTGTCTCTAGCCTTGGTGGGTCTGCTCTCATGGTATTACCCTGCCACTGAGAGTACACCTTGGATGGCTCAGTGGAGAACATTTGGTTTACTCTCCTGGCTTCAACTTCTCTGGTGTGCCTCTTCAACTGGGTGGCCAGGGCTGTGAGCCTTTGCTTGGCAGTCTCTAAGGCCTCAGGTATGGACGGTGTGTTGTACTTCTTAGGTACCCCTTTCTTCATCATGCCTTTCTGCAATTCCGATTGCTGCCTAACTTCCCTCCTTGCTGCCTTGATCTTGGTCTCCAACCTCCTTCTCCATGGAGGATGGATGTCACCATTATGTGAACATGTAAGTGTGAATGGCCAAACAGTGTGAAAGCTCAGAGTGTGCTGCAATGCGTAGAAAAGCACTATACAAGTATTAAGACCGCTGACCATTAAATATTAGAGAGCCCATGGCATGCTTTTCCTAGTTTTTTTTTTTGACTTATTTACAATGGCAAATTATTATCTTAGAAGTGACTTAAAGTTTTTAAAAAATGAGGTGTACATACAGTGCCTTGCGAAAGTATTCGGCCCCCTTGAACTTTGCAACAAGCCACCTGGGAGACACACCAAACATGTGGAAGAAGGTGCTCTGGTCAGATGAAACCAAAATCGAACTTTTTGGCAACAATGCAAAACGTTATGTTTGGCATAAAAGCAACACAGCTCATCACCCTGAACACACCATCCCCACTGTCAAACAGGGTGGTGGCAGCATCATGGTTTGGGCCTGCTTTTCTTCAGCAGGGACAGGGAAGATGGTTAAAATTGACGGGAAGATGGATGGAGCCAAATACAGGACCATTCTGGAAGGAAACCTGATAGAGTCTGCAAAAGACCTGAGACTGGGACGGAGATTTGTCTTCCAACAAGACAATGATCCAAAACATAAAGCAAAATCTACAATGGAATGGTTCACAAACAAACATATCCAGGTGTTAGAATGGCCAAGTCAAAGTCCAGACATGAATCCAATCGAGAATCTGTGGAAAGAACTGAAAACTGCTGTTCACAAACGCTCTCCATCCAACCTCACTGAGCTCGAGCTGTTTTGCAAGAAGGAATGGGCAAAAATTTCAGTCTCTTGATGTGCAAAACTGATAGAGACATACCCCAAGTGACTTACAGCTGTAATCGCAGCAAAAGGTGGCGCTACCAAGTATTAACTTAAGGGGGCTGAATAATTTTGCATGCCCAATTTTTCAGTTTTTTATTTGTTAAAAAAGTTTGAAATATCCAATAAATTTCGTTCCACTTCATGATTGTGTCCCACTTGTTGTTGATTCTTCACAAAAAATTACAGTTTTATATCTTTATGTTTGAAGCCTGAAATGTGGCAAAAGGTCGCAAAATTCAAGGGGGCCGAATACTTTCGCAAGGCACTGTATATTTTCCAAAAAAAAGCCTTAAAAAAAAACATGCTTAATGTTTGTTAATGTGTTATTTCCGTAAAGTTAAAGAGAATTGCTTTAAGGCTGGAGAAGTTACTATGTCTGCATTATGCCAATTAAAATATGAAGTTTCCTAATTACCCACTTTGTTTAGAATTTGGAGAATTGCGTGTATCCTTGGCCTCTGACCAACTAGTGATTGCTCTTATCCATCATTACTCGTATTTAATATTTTCTTTATTAGTGTTGGTTGTTTTATTGCAATGAATGCACTCATGTATCAGAATCAGACCTGAAAAAAATGTGGATTGGCCCATCACTATAAAATACCAGCATGTCACTTATTCTCTGTTCTGCTTTCTCTCCCTGCACGTCTGTTGCTCTTTACTCATCTTGTTTTACTTTATGCACCATACAGCACTCCTACACCATACTTAAATCACATGTACCACTGCACCAGAGTCAAATTCCTCATGTTTCCAACACACCTGGCCAATAAAGCTGATTCTGATTCTGATGTACATCCCGCAGTACTAAACTTACTATCACACCACATGCTCATTTGATTATTGGTTATATTTATTTGCATTTGTTTAATAAACTGATTATTTTCAACATTACACCATGTAGTCTCCCTTGTTTGTTATGGCCTTTGAGCTGGGTTGTGATATTAGTTCACACAAGGGTGTGTGCAAAATACGTCTTGCCTGTGAGACGTTTTGGCTAGTCCTCAAAACTGCAAAGCGCTGTTTGCGGTTTAAGACATGGTTTTAGGGATGAATAATGTTAAAATTAGGGTTAGTGTAAGGATTGGTATTAGCCATTTAGGTGTGATGACTGAGATTAGTGTAAGGGCCTAGGGAATGCATTACAACAATGAGCATTCATCACAACATCAGTAAGAATGTTAATGCTCACCTGAGGGTATAATGAAGGTGCAGCCCTGCTTCAGTTCAATCCTCTGGCAGTCAGATGCTCTATCTCCGAGGAAAACATCTCCCTGTTTCCCCGACAGTACCCAGTTCTCATATAGCTCCAGGTTCTGAGGGGTGGGCGGGATCAGCCAGAATACCTGAAAATACACACCTTAAACAGTCATTCTGGACTGGACTAAAAGGGCTGGACAAGACTTAAAGCTGCATTAACTGACTTCTCCCTCTAATTTCTGACCGCTAAGAGCAAAGTGAGAGTCAAAAATTCAAGCAGTATCCTCTCTTCTTCTCCCTCTACTCCTCTTCACCCCTCCTGCCTTGTGTCTGAAACTACATCATAGGTGGTCATGACAGCTGAAAATACTTGTAGCAGTCAGGCAGAGCAGCAGGGAATAACTGGCTCCAGAACTAATGAATAGGGGAAAACGGAGGCCATGGTTTTCAGCGACACTGAAATGACAATGTCAAATAAAGATTTACATGTTATCCATATGCATATGCATGTCTAACATTGATTGTAGCAGATGTACAGTACTGTACCTGCATTAACAAAAAGCAAACTGCGCAAACAAATGTTTTATTCCCCCCAGTAATATTGATACAGTACTTACAGTATGTTCCAGTGTTGTGTCAAGGTGTGTTTCCCCTAACCTGACCCTTTATCCCAACCATAACTGCAGAGGGAGACGGTACTAGAGACACATCATGACAGGGAATAGATTTCAACACAAGACCAGCCACTACCGTATCGCGTTCAATTTTATGTTCTTGATGCACATCAACAGTGAGTTGTATGTGAAACAAGAGAAATTTCACGTTATGCTTTGACAGCTGAACAAATTCCCTACTTTTCTAGTTCTTGATAGCATATTTTACAAACTTCTCACTAAAACGCTACATAGACTGCAGTGCTATGTCCGATCTAAACTGAGAAAAATTAGCAAAATCACTTCATTTGCTAATCCAAGAAAATGCGCTGGGTTTCAGCTAACTGGACAACAAAACACTAACGTTGTAGTCAGTTGGAATTACAAATACAATACAAAAGTTATTGCTATACAAAGGTATAGCTTGCTAATGATGAAGACATATACAGTGCCTTGCAAATGTATTCATACCCCTTGATTTTTTTCACATTGTCACATTACAGTCACAAACTTAAATGGATTTTATGTGACAGACCAATACAAAGTATTGCATAATTGTGAAGTGGAAGGAAAATGATACATGGTGTTCAAGATTTTTTACACATAAAACTCTGAAAAGTGTATCCAGCTCATTTTACTCTGATATCCCTAAATAAAATCCAGTGCAACCAACTGCCTTCAGAAGTCACCTAATTAGTAAATAGAGTCCACCTGTGTGTACATCAATCTCAGTATAAATACAGCTGTTCCTTGAAGGCCTCAGAGGTTTGTTAGAGAACATTAGTGGACAAACAACATCATGAAGACTAAGGAACACACTAGACAGATCAGGGATAAAGTTGTGCAGAAGTTTAAAGCAGGGTTAGGTTATAAAAACATATCCCAAGCTTTGAACATCCCATGGAGCACTGTTCAATCCATCATCTGAAAATGGAAAGCGTATGGCACGACTGCAAACCTACAAAGACATGGCCGTCCACCTTAACTGACAGGCTGGGAAAGGAAAGCATTAATCAGAGAAGCAACCAAGAGGCCCATAACTCTGGAGGAGCTGCAGAGATCCACAGCTCGGGGGGGGACAATCTGTCGTGTACTCCAGCACAAATTTGGCTTTCTTCTTGCTACTCTTCCATAAAAGCTATTGTTGAAAGAAAGCAATAAAAAGTCCCGTTTGCAGTTTGCCACAAGCCATGTAGGGGACACAGCAAACATGTGGAAGAAGGTGCTCTGGTCAGATGAGACCAAAGTTGAACTTTCTGGTCTACATGTAAAAAGGTGATGTGTGGCAGAAACATAACACTGCACATCAGCCTGAACACACCTTCCCCACCATGAAACATGGGGGCAACAGCATCATGCTGGAATTATTGGGATTTTATTTAAAATCCCAATAAAATCCATTTAAGTCTGTGGTTATAATGTGACAAAATGTGGAAAAATTCAAGGGGTATGAATACTTTTGCAAGGCACTGTATACATAGGCCAGCTACAATACTTGTGCATCTAGAAGGAAGAAAGCCACATCCCTGCCAAATTTTAGTCCTTTGGAAGCTTTTAGTGCTCTCCATCTCTGACATGACAAACAGATGTTAACCCTGTTTTTGCCTCATTCTTTGTCACACTCTTTTCTGTGCTACAGAACACAGCCTCTTGAGTCTAACAGGTCTGCTCCCATCCTGGGTTGTACCTGTACAGTAGTATCTGTCTTTGAAATGAGCCATACCGGCTTGAAAAACTAATCATATAGCCTCTGATCAGCAGGTGTGTGGAAGCACTGTGGTGTGGATTTTGTGACCACAGAGGGCAAGAAACACAAGGCCCGACAATAGTTTTTTTAGGGGGTGGGGTAGTACAGCAGGGAGAAACTTCTAAACAATTTTTTTTACTTGACTTGCCCAAATTTCTGCTTAATCTTAGTTAATGCAGCTTTAAGTACACTTACGTTTTAAAACACATAAGAACAGTAGTTGTGTTTTTTTGTTAAAATTTCAGCTATTTAACAAGCCTGAATCAGAAACTGTTAGACTGTAACTGAAAAGACAGGTTTCCCAAACAGAAACAAAAACCCTCTGGCCCAACCTTGCTTCCACTCAGTATATGGTACCACACTGAGGTCCCTCCAAAGTCAATGTGAAAGTCTGTGTAGCAGTCCTCTACACTCATCAGACAGTATCTGCACGCACACACACACACACACACACACACACACACACACACACACACAAAAAACATTTACATTGAAACATCAAGTCAATTAAATCAATTTATTTGGAGACCAAATTAAATAGATGAAGTGGTGAATTAGGTCATCCTTCCAGTAGGGCTGGACAATAAATCGATGTTATCGATTAACTCGAATGTGTAGTTTACATTGGTTTGTTTGAATGAAAATCTGTTTTATCTTTAACATCCGCCGACGCTCCCGTAGTTCCAAGTTGGCTCAGCCCACCCCCCGCGCGTTTGCCATAGAGATAGCATGGCAGCGAGCAGGGAGGAACTCGTTCAGAAAAAAGGCACAGTGTCATCAGTACTATGGAATTGGTTTGGTTTTGCCGTGTCAGACGCAGAACAAACAACACCCCGCTGCAAAGTGTGTTTAAAGTCTGTTGCTACCAAAGGTAGCAGTACGAGATAAACACAAACTGCAATTTTTAAGTAATGATTTTATTTATTAAGGGACAAAAGCTACCCATACCTACATGGCCCTATGTGAAAAAGTAATTGCCCCTTAAACCTAATAACTGGTTGTGCCACTATCAGCACCAACAACTGCAATCAAGCATTTGGAAGGTTTTCGAGCATGAACCGCCTTTTTAAGATCACACAACAGCATTTCCATTGGATTCAAGTCCGGACTTTGACTAGGCCACTACAAAACCTTCATTTTGTTTTTTTAAGCCATTCAGAGGTGAACTTGCTGGTGTGTTTTGGATCACTGTCCTGCTGCAGAACCCAAGCGCGCTTCAGCTTGAGGTCACAAACTGATGGTCGGATATTCTCCTTCAGAATCTTTTGGTAGAGAGCAGAATTCATGGTTCCATCAATCACAGCAAGTCGTCCAGGTCCTGAAGCAGCAAAGCAGCCCCAGACCATCACACTACCACCACATTTGACTGTTGGTATGATGTTCTTTTCTGAAATGCTATGTTACTTTTATGCCAGATGTAGCGGGATGCACACAAACGTTTGTCTCGTCAGTCCACAAAATATTTTCCCAAAAGTCTTGGGGATTGTCAAGACGTTTTTTGGCAAAAGTGAGACGAGCCTTTGGGTTTCCTTTTCACATAGGGCCATGTAGGGTTGGATAGAGTTTTTCTCGTAATAAATAAAAATCATCACTTAAAAACTGCATTTTGTGTTTACTTGGGTTATCTCTGTCAAATATTTAAATTTGTTTGATGATCAGAAACATGCAAGTACAACAAATATACAAAAAAATAAGAAACCAGGAAGTGGGCAAATACTTTTTCACAGCACTGTATATCCTATAGATATTTGGCTGCAGAAAAACATTAATGAGGAACTTGCTTTTGTACTTTGGGGTAATGCATGTCATTTATAGAGTTGGTTGAGTCTCTTTGTCGTTCTTTAAGGTGACGAGGCCACATGTTGTCCACCCAGTCTATTAGATCTACCTACACAGTCAAAAGAAAGAAAAAGAAATAAAGAAGACAATTCATCATTTTGCCAAGGAGAGAGTCAGCATACTAATTACATAATCTGTTCAAATGTTTTCATGTCAAAACAACTACTCTTTTGGGAGGACAGAGGTATACGGTGAGGAACAGAAGTATATGAACACCCTGCGATTTTGCAAGTTCTCCCACTTAGAAATCATGGAGGGGTCTGAAATTCACATTGTAGGTGCATTCCCAGTCTGAGAGACAGCACTGCTGAACATAAGTATTTGAACACCTGAGAAACAGCAAGAATTCTGGCTCTCAAAGACCTGTTACTGTGCCTTGAAAAAGTCCACCTCTACTCCACTCATTAATCTAAAGTAGTAGCACCTGTCTGCACTGTATTAAGGAGAGGAGGAATGGGGCCATTTATTGTGAGATTTTGAGCAACAACCTCCTTCCCTCAGTCAGAGCATTGAAGATGGGTCGTGGCTGGGTCTTCCAACATGACAACGACCCGAAGCACACAGCCAGGATAACCAAGGAGTGGCTCCGTAAGAAGCATATCAAGGTTCTGGAGTGGCCTACCTCAATCCAATAGAACATCTTTGGAGGGAGCTTAAACTCCGCGTTGCTCAAGCGACAGCCCTGAAACCTAACAGATCTAGAGGAGATCTGTGTGGAAGAGTGGGCCAAAATCCCTGTTGCAGTGTGTACAAACCTGGTCAAGAACTACAGGAAACGTTTGACCTCTGTAATTGCAAACAAAGGTTTCTGTACCAAATATTAACACTGATTTTCTCAGGTGTTCAAATACTTATGTTCAGCAGTGCAAGACAAATAAAATCTTTAAAAATCATACAATGTGATTTCCTGAATTTTTTTTTTTATTCTGTCTCTCAGAGTGGGAATGCACCTACAATGTGAAT